AAGATTTGAATTGTTTGTTTGTTGTTTTTTTTTTTTTTTTTTTTTTTTTTTTTTTTTTAGATCGATCACTGTTTGTTCTTTTACATAAGTATCTGTCATATTTTAACGCACTCCATAAAAACAGAAAAAAAGATTACGCGAGCTTTAACAATTTAAATTCTCTCCTCTGGAAACCAGAAGATGAAAATTTGTGTTTCCTACATAAAATAGGAAGATAACGAACAGTAATCAAGCTCAAAAGTCCATTGGAACAATATAAATCGGGAGCAGAGCAAACACAGACCTATAAAACATCCGTTGTTTGGATCAGTTTGCTATGGAGGAGTAGGCATCCCTGATCAAACCGCTGTGTACTCAATCTCTTGATCGGGCAAACGGAAAAATCCGTAGACAATTCAGAGTGTAAATAATGGCTTAACAAAAAGAATGAAAAAATGTCAGTCAATTCAACATTCGACTTCACGCGAGATCTTATTTGCTGACAAATTCATTGTATTCGAAGTTGCAAAATGCCGATTTTAAACGAGACTGTTGATATCCCTGTTCCATCAATATACTTACTCAAATCCAGAGGTCTGTGTTATCAATTTGTATTGTTTAAATGGTTATTTTTCTTTATCTTCATGTTTTTCATTTTACATGTGATTTGACACGTCTGTAGACTTTTATGTGAATCACTATTTATCATGCATAAAATTTTGTCCCATATCATAATCCACATTATTACCATATAAAATGTATGCAAGTCTCGTGTACAAATTAATGATGTGAAGATAGTAATGAAAACAAAGTTTTTTCATGAGGTTGATTTAGTACCTAACATAAAAAAAAAATATGAGACAAATGATGCCTAGTAACAAAATATTGATAAATAATAGCGTATATTTCAAGTGAGTCTAATTTTCCAGAAAATCATAAGAATTTATTGTAAACCATCATGCATATATATTAGGGATGTCAATTTTGTCAATAATTCATATTCGAATATTCAATGAAAGTATTCGAATATATTCGAATATTCGATAAAATAAATAAAATCTGGTTTATTTTAAATATGCATCATCATTCTCTCATGATAGGTTTGCGTAGGTATTCTTTTATTGGAAGTAAAATTGTATGAAGACTTTTGTGGGTGTACAATAAGGAATCCCATTTGAAATTTGTCAATGTCTGAAATAAATATTAATTGATTTAAATGTAGAAAAGTATCAATTTAACAAATGATACGTGTATTCATAGTAGCTCCAACTGAGGAACCAGTCGTCTTACAAAAGGCAGGATAGTCGTATTGTGTTCAGATTTCAATACGTGAAATTAATTACAATTATCAGCCTAATAAGAGATATGATTATAATCTTCGATACAACGCTTTTAAAATATAAACAAATATTTCCATAGACAATTTTCCTAGGTAATTAACTAATTTCCCGATAATGAATATAAAATTCAGGATTATGTACAACCCGAGATAATCAAGTAATTTACACATTTATTCTGAAATTGAGCCCTTTACAATATTAAATACAGACTAATTCTATCGGACATTCATTCAATGATCAATTAAATTTATTTTGATAAGTATACTCTTCACGTCTTTTAGGCATTCTAAGAGGGTTTTCGTTTTGTTGTCCTAAATTCTAGATTTTATAATAAAAACTATAAAAGTATATTTTGTATTATACATAAAGCATTATTGTATAATTCTTTAACACCTTACTGAAAAGAAAATAATTTAGTAGATACATAAGATAGCAGTGAAAGAAATCAGGCGATCGAAATTGATCGCTAGTAAATAAAACAGGGATAATTCCAGCACTGTTCTAATAAAAATTTATCAACATTTATTAATCACAGTACTTTTTTTATGAAATCTAAAAAAAACAAACAAAAAAACACCGAATATTCGAATCTTAAATTCATATTCGAATATCAACTCATCGAATGAATATTCGAATGTTCGAATATTCGTTGACATCCCTAATATATATATATATATATATATATATATATATATATATATATATATATATATATATATATATATATATATATATATATATATATATATATATATATATATATATATATATATATATATATATATATAATTATGTTCAAATAAAAAATACCTATAAACTGTATATGAAAAACGTACATTGTATTTATGTCTATTACACGAAATCATTTTATGAATATGCTTTGTATAAACCTTGTAAAGAAAAGGAAGAGATTAAGTAGCAAATATCATGTATTTATCTCTTTTACGACATTAAATTTTCTGCCAAGATGACTTTTTTGTTTATGACATGTAATTTGATACTAGTCTTACACATTGCCGGAAGTATTAGATCCTATTAGATGTCAGACGATATGTTATGAGATCCTACTCATTTATGACCAATGTTATCATATTTCTCAAAATTCATTAATGCTCGTGACAAATATTTCCGTAAACATAAGCCTTGGAAGCCTGATATGGAGATAAATAAATTCGATACATCGCATATGCATAGACGATTTGTAAACGAATGTAGGATCTTTTTCAAAGATGTAATTGGGATTTACTTATAAAACCACAGAACTTGATTATCGTCTAGTTTTATAACTATTGTAGTTTGTTTCAATTTGAAAGTTACTCTATCACAATATTGAAAACAATATATAAATAGCATTTTATCTTTGGTACCACAATTAAAACACTTTTTAAAATACATGTAGAAATTTTAAAAAAATAAAGTATTAAGTTTATCTAAGAATACAACGCAATATTCCAGATGCCCTAGAGTTTGTTTGCGTACTTAAGTTTCATCCTTATTTGTTAAACAATTTCGGTGTTGAGTCGATCCTCGAAACAAAATCTTCACCAAAGTTTGATATTTCCTTTATTATTTTTAATAAAGAAACCTAATCTGACAACCGTAAATCTATGCCATCAAACACTTATCATCACATACTGTATGCAAACACAAATTAAATCTTCTCTAATATCAACATTTGGGTAAAATCAGTATATGCTAATTGACCTTTATTAGCACGTTTTTTGAACAAACTGATCTTGAAGTAAGAGAAACGTATAGAAGAGTCTTGCCATTTCGAAGCCTTTGATAATAAGGGCTTGTTTTTCGTCCATTTAGTGTAAGTATCGATCGAGCGTAGACAGGTTTGGAGATGTACATCAAAGGGGATCTCGATGTTGCTGTCAAGTCCAAAAACAAAATGTTGTGTATACCATTCATGACAATGGGTCATCAATTCAACTTTGTATTTAAAACAAAGAAAAACTTAAAAAATTCTAATATCCTATCGCGTGTTTTTTAAAAGATAGACTAAAAAGATCGAGTTTCCTATTTAATATGTAAGACATTAGACAAACATGATCTTAGAGACACGTGATCAGAAACTAAATTAATTCCAAATAATACATCCACATTTCCTACAATTGCCTCAATTTTATTTCATAATGGTGTTGAAAAAAGAAACAAAGAAACTGGGGGGATAAGCCGAGCCATATGCCTACATAACGATCGATAAAAAATCAATAAATTCATTTTACAAAAATTTCACTTTTTGTTGAATTAATGTAATGCTTATTACCATTTGCATACAAATTTGACAAAACCTGAATACTGTAATAGCGAAAATGATTCTGATTAACACAAAAAAATGGCATCACGCTCAATTTTCACAAAAACTGACATAAATTGGATGATATAACTACATTTTTTAAATAGAGTGGGTCATCGTACCATTTTTTTGAGAACGATTAATGAAAGGCAATGGAAAGATGTTGCTTTTTACACTTGCAAATATTTGGTACGAAGACCCACTCTACATAAAAAATTAAGTTAACTTACTTAAATTTTCACCGTGGTCTTAAAAAATTGTAAGTCCAAATACGCTTGCTAAATATAGAGAACTGTATGCTATTTAAATGGGTATGTATGTGTGACTCCGTGGTACAGTGGTTAGCGAGGAGCTCTTTAAAGGGACGTTTATTGAGGAAAGTGTTCGAGTCATGCTCTGATTTTTTGATTTTGTTTTTTGTTTTGTTTTGTTTTGTTTTTTTTGCTTTCTTTGGTTTTAATTTTGTTTTACTTCATAAAACAATGTCTATAGGAATAATATATTTTTCACTGGAAATAAAATATATACATGTAGTAATGAACTTATTTACAGTAAATTATTTAAAATGCCGGATAAAAATTATAATAGATATTTGAATACTTTTATTCCCGTTTTTATTTATTTTAAATAAAAGCGCTTCTAGATCACCATTATCATTATATACGATGTTAACATTTTTATAATATCTCCACAATAAGTGTAAACACTCAATATGCAGATTAATTAATAGAAGTCCTTACCCATGTTAGACATTTGTGACAGTAAATGGAAGTCAACTGTTTAGCTTGTTTAGAATATAAATATCATTTTGAAAACTACGGTAAACATTAAAATGCTTAAGTAAACTTGAACAATTGAGAGATTTTTTCCAATAAATGTTCTTGCATAGCCAAAAAATGGGCATGGGCACATGGCTCGTCTTATCCCCCCAGATTCTTTCTCACAGACTTTGTCTATTACCACTGTAAACTGAACATTGTTATCAAACTGTTTCGATGCAATCGATGTATTTTGCATATTAGATTTACTCACCCTTCATTGAATTAAATATATATTTTGACGATGATTGAAGTTTGTTTTGTTTAATAAAAACCACTTTGCAAATTCAATTGTTAAGATAATTGCAAAGCATTCATGAGTTCAAACTGTAATTAAACGATCTTAACGGAATGCATATAATGTAGATGATAAATGATCTGATTTATAATTTTCTTAGGAAATATTTACACATACATTTACATAACGAAGCTACAGGCCAATCGTATGCTTTAATACATCAAAATAACCAACCCATTTAAGGTTACACCTAAAAGATAACAAAACTATATAAACTGCGGTATATGTATATTCCAAAAGCACTTGTACCTTAGCATCAAGACAACATGTATCTCAACATTATTTTATGTGTTCTGTCTATTTATTTCAGTTCCCTGTGCGGTCAGATAACCACCAACGCTTCAGACGCCGAGCCAGACCTGTCTGTTAGATTGTCATTGTTGGAGAGAACTGTGGGAAGAATTCTTACCTGGAAAGACCAAGTGAACCTGACAAGCAATAGAACATCTGGAGGTAAGACGACTTAAGAAATGAATCTTAATTTTTTTTTCTTGGATAGAGGTATCAAAGAAAACTTTGACACGCAAAACTTCATCACGCATTGATGAAAAAGTTTTCCGTCCATGTTTTATTTGAAACCTCGGTTAAAGAAAAAAAAATAGATTCATTTCTTATCATTTAGTATTTATCTTTCAATGATGAGATTTAACATGAAAACGAATGATTTCCCAATATGTAGCTTAACTTTAACAATATTTGACCTAAATATTTATACGCGGAGTAATACATAATGAACTAACAACGTTCAAAAATTGACGTGTCATTACCAGCTGTTTCTAACAATAAAACAAAAATGACTTACCAGTTGTATTACTACTTTTTGTTATATACCGTTGGGTTTGTATGTACTTGTAATTTTTCCCGGCTAGCTGCTATTCTTAAGGTTCGTAAATGTAAAGGGAGGCTGCACAAAATAAACCCTCAAAACTCTTTCTTGGTCAGAGAAAGTTTGGAGTTCATTTGCGCATTTCTTAATCTAAATTTCAAACCCAGCATTTATATACGTATCACAACCAGTCCATGCATTACACCTGGCTGTAAAATCTGGTAAGGTATAGTCTCTTGTCGATTTCTTAACATGGTAGGAACTTCTTCCTTTCTCAATGTAGTTTTTCTCAATGCATGCAATTCCATAGAATTAACAGATTAGCAAGATATCCCTAATATGGCGGCATAAACATTTCTTAATAGTTTTATTGTTCATACAAGTTATTTCAAATGGTAAGCATTTAACATATGTTTAATGATTTCTTCCTTTCTTTCTCGTAACGCATTGTTGCCATGCATACGATCTGATTTGTTCAGCAAAGAGGGATGATTCGGGGAAAAACAGAAGGAAATAAGCCAGGAACATATCGGACAAGTTGAAAAATTGAGGAAAATAGCGTAAAAAAAAAATTCATTTTTCTCTCACAAAGTATTTTGGAAAGGGAAATATGTAAAGTCAGCCATTATACTATAAAAAATGTAGTTCCTAATTGGTAAAATTTTACTGTTGCAGGTATCGAAGAAATTTTTCAACCAATCAGAAACGCCAATTTCTCAACAATCTTATAAATATTGAATGATTATCAGGTCTCCATTTTTTATGTCCTGTCCATGAAATGGTTCGGGTATTGATTTATTCATATCCGTTATTCGTCCTTACAAAATAGATATTATTAATCACTCTCCGTACATACCTTGGGTTTGATTTCATCAAGCTGAGTTATTGGGTATATGTTTTGTTCCCTTTAGTTCATTTGAAAGGTAAAAAACGATCATTAATTTGGAATTTCCTAAAAAAAAAAAAAAAAAAGCATTGCAATTTATTAGATCTCATTTTTATGATTTAATTTCAGATGAATTCTTAAATATAGAAAGTATACCTGTACAAACTTTCCTTGCTATTTCCAAGATTTTGATCTAAATTGTGGTATAAAAATGATTGATTGATTGATTGTATATTGTTTTACGTCCCATTTGAGAATTTTTCACTCATGGAGAGACGTCACCATATACCGGTGAAGGGCTTCAAATTTTTTACCTTTACTCGGCGCTCAGGGCCATTGAGCAGTGAGGGATCTTTATCGTGCCAACGCCTGCCGTGAAAGGGCCTCGGTTTTTAAGGTCTCATCCGAAGGACCCGCAACTTTCACTTCAAAGTGCCGAGCGCATGACGAAGGAACAGTTGCTACCTATTTTTTATCGACTTAGTCAGTCGCGGCCGAGGTTCGAACTCACGACCTCCCGATCACGGAGCGAGCGCTGGTATAAAATGAGCTACAAATTGATTTTCTTATTCTAAGATAATTTCTGTTCGGTACATTCTGAAGGCATTCAATAAAGAGTAACTTGGCTGTGAGTGGATATTCTTACTGAGACAGTTACTTTTCGGTTTCTAACATAGTAACGCAGAATCCTCACTCTGAGACCATAGTGTTACCCTCGTCCTACATGTATCTCATGATGAACAATTTGATTTCTCTTTGTCAATGCATCCTTTTTTATTTCATCCATTTGATGTACTTTAAAAAGGGAGAACAATGACAACAAGAATTATAAAAAAAACGGACACAAATGAAAATATCAAAATTGTTTTGTGCGAAATTTTTTTCTGGGTGTTTCATGTGAAACTATGTCCGGATGCAGTACTAATACACTTGCATTTTGGCAAATGTCGCCCACCTTTACTAATGCAATCAATACCCCTTAAAAAATATCGGAATATAAAACAATTCAACTTCATGTAAAAGTGATTGTCAAAACTAATTTTGGTTGTCTTATCAATGTATTCAGTTTTAAAGATGGGCGCATCTATAACTCAAGTCTATGCAATTTAACATTGTAATCATTTTATGCAATATGAATATCAAATGTTATTTAAGGAGATATATGTATTATCAAATTCAACATGTTATCTGTGTTTTATCTAGGCATTCCTGTCTTCAACAGCACACCGGTTGCATTTTGTGCTAGGTTCAAAAATGACCATGGTGGAATAAGCGTAGGATTCATTCTGAAGTTTGATGTTGTAATCACCAACCTGGGAAACCACTACAATCCGACCGATGGAATCTTCATCGCACCTGTCCATGGAGTCTACATGTTCTACTGGACCATGCAATGCTACTACAGTGGAAGCACGCACTGCGGTACAGCCCTCAAAATAAATAATGTAATGAAAGGAAGAATACGATCAGCAGACGCTAATGGTGGTTATTATCATACTGGATCCAACTCAGTGATTGTAGAAGTAGCTGCAGGAAGTCATGTTTGGATTGAAAATGTTGATTGGTCTAATGTCGACATTTACGAGTACTCATCCTTTGGAGGGACTCTCTTATTGATCTTATAGTAGATAGAACTGAAGCGCTTAGTAAGCACCAAGCAGACTGTAAATCAAGCAAATACGTGATAATATAAAACTATCCAGGGAATCCAGGATAAAAATAATGCTTAGGAATTATTTTCATTATTTAAGCTTTACTTTACCTTTCTCATATAAAGAACTTATTTTATGCCTAACTTTATTTTATTGATTATATATCAGTTTGAAATTTGAAGCCTGAGTATTTTTATTTTTATTTAAAAGAAACATAAATTATTTTCAAAGAAATGTGAAAAATAACAAACACTGATTATGTTCAAACAATGCAATTTAGACAATACAAATTGTAAGCAGAGCCAAAACGGACCTCAGCGAACATAGGTGGGATCAGGTGCCATAGAGGAGAATGCATTCCCTGTGTGCTCCTTGTCATGGTCGGATTTTTGGAAAAATCTGTAGACTGACGAACGAGCCGAACAATAGAAAAATCGTGACCTTTATTTATTTAGTAGATCTAACATCTAATGCAATATATATATATATATATATATATATATATATATATATATATATATATATATATATATATATATATATATATATATATATATATATATATATATATATATATATGGAAAATGAAAGGATATAGTATAAAATAATCAATATACGGGGGCTGTTCGGAAATCGTTGAGACATTATGTTTATTCGTCTTTCTATTGAACGCCTTTTGGTGAAAATTGGCATAAACTTTTGATAAGCACTAAGAATTAATTAAAGCAAGAAGTATTTCGCAATTTCATCCATGATATTTAATGTGTCAGTGGTAGGGGAACTCGGATCAGTCACGAAATCAGATATTGAAAATATGAAACACCTACGTTCAAACTCCAGGTGGACCCACAGAAAGAGCGAAAAATAATTCAAATGATGTATATAATTTTACAACTTTACATTGACTTCATTTTGTGAAATACGAAGATCATAAAAAAAATTAAGCACGGTAAAGAAATCTTATAACGACGACAAAATGAATTTTGACGTCAAGACGGCACAGTGAACATATTAACTTAAATTTTGTGGAGAGCTGTGGAGAGCTCTTGTCCAGACTAAACGACCTGCGAAAACAATAAGAATGCCAAATAAATAAATAAATAAATAAATAAATAAATAAATAAATAAATAAATAATAATAATAATAAATATAATGAAATGAAATTAAAAAAATCCAATAAATTGCCTGAAATTCTTCATTGTTTGTTCATTGATATATATTTTTTCTTTCAAATAATTCAACCAGAGTAATAACGAAGGCTTCCGATGGCCATCAATTATTACTGCGTGACTTTAAGTCAACCTGTATGTGACTCTTCATGTAATTTTATATTTGGATAACAACAACACACATTTTATTTTATTATTTTTAAGAACCGTTTAAGAAAAGAAAGAATTTTATTTCTTGAATGTTTAATGTGACGAAAGAGAAATAAGAGTTAAAGTCATATATGGCGTATTTTTGATAAGTTCAGAGTAACTAAAATCAAAAAAATCTTTCTATTTGTTTTATTATTTTATATAAAGATAGGACTTTTCTGTAAATTACACAATTTAAATCAATCGCGTTTCATAGGTATTAGAAAGAGCCAGGTACATTAGTAGGGCAAATCGGCCCTTTGAAAATTAAAAATAGTCATAAAGAAATGACTTGAGAATGTACACTTTATAGATATATTAGCAATTCTTATCTATCTTTTATAGTTTAGTTGCAATAACCCTCTGAAGATGGGGTGTATTTTATTGCATTTAACCGCTTTGAGCACTATGACGTCATTATTGCCGTCAATTTGAATTATATTTTAAAAAAAAAACTTTTATGTACCATTGTATTTTATATGTAAAAGATGTTAAACTTTTTACGTACATTGCATTGTTTATTTACTTCAAAAAAAATATTGAACAAAAAGAACGTTTTAATTAAAAGAATTTATGACCTCCATAGTGTCGATTCATCTGAATATCATATCTGCAGTCAAAATTGCTTGCTTAATGTGCAGACCATTTTTCTCCACAATTTTGTTTTTAATTTTTTTTCCCCGGAACGTTAAATAAAAGATAGACAATGCAAAAAGATCATTGAAATTAAATTTTATTAACAAACAAGAACAGTAAAATATAACTTTCTTTAGCATTAATTTTAACCTATTTGCACTTAGGTTCGAATTATAATATTAAAATACCAAAAATCGCCCTTTTCGAGATTAAAAACAACAATTGAAAACAATATTAAATTATTCATGCAAAATAGAACAATGGGCAGCCAAAAAATGGGCAGGAATTACATGTATATTATCAGGATTTAATGATATTACTAACAACTCAGGCAAGACGTATCGGGGGGGGGGGGGGTCCCCCTTTTTTAGTCATTACCTTTTACTATTGAGAATGTTCACTGAAAGGCTATTAGCTCCCCCCCCCCCCCCCCCCCCACACACACACACACTGTTTGTTGCAGCTTAGTTAAAATCGGAGTTATGTGGTAATGTATGAAAAAAAAAATCGATTGTGGAAGAAGTTGAGGAGTTGTCCCCCAACAGATAGGATTTTCGAGTTTGATTCTGACCCCCCCCCCCTCCTTTTTTTTTAAATTTAAATCAATACTATGTGTCTGCAACTTCAGAAATATCTAGTAAAGATCATTGACTTTAGAATCCTGAAATTCTAATTAACTCCAATATTTGTTTATAGTAAAAACATATTAAAGGTTAGAGTCAGAGGCTCTAGGTGACATGCCTTCATTATTGTCACCAGTATTTTCTTTTAATATACGATGACCTTTCAAATTGATCTTTGAATCTGGACCACTGACAAAGGTGTCAACTAACGAAGAATAAATCAAAATCATCTTCCTAACTTCATCATTGATTTTCAACAATGAAAAAAATTAACTAATCTGACTTTGATTTTTATAATAAATACAGTCTTTTTGTCACAAATGATGTTGAAGTTATAAATTGTCAACAAGTCTATATTGGTTGATGCTATTAACAAAAAATCTTTTTAGAATAAATTAGATCTACTATGCAACACGAGTCCATCTTTTATACATCGACCTCGAATGGAGATGGAACATTAAAGTTTATACCAATACTCCTCAACATTAATACACGCTTCAACCAGGTTCATGCTGAAGTTATTCCTTTGGTGGTTTCAGATTTAGAACCTGACTGTTGATCATTTGGGGACAAACAACATCAAGAAATTATAATTTGAAATCAGTATCTCAGTGACGTAGCATTGTTTTTGAAAGTGTGTGTAGGGGAGGGGGGGGGGGGTTGGGGATCCTGAGAATTTTTTTTTCAACTTTTCAACTTACCCGAAAGAAACTTGACGAGCAAAAAAATGTACACACTCGAAAATGTTATTTCGTGGAGGGGGGGGGGGTAACTTCTTTCGGTACCAATTTTTTTATTTAACTGCACTGCAGCAAAAAGATGGGGGACACTTCAATAAACATTTGCTATGGTAAAAATTATGTCTGGAAAAACTTGTGGGGGGGGCAACCCCCCTCCCCCCCCCCCTTGATTTTACGTGCCTGTATCTATTTGTGGATTATAAATATTATAATGCTAACTATTTCCATCTCTCTCTTAAAAAGAAAATATCTTCCTGGTACGTACTTCACCTGAGTTGGTGGCGATAGGGGATTTCAAAAGCAAGGGTCGTTCGGGGGCACCTGCAGATCCCCAGTAGTTTTACTTCCCCTATTTCTGAGATTTTCAGTATGATATATAAGCGTATAAATAGTGCCCTTCCTGGTTAACTTTATTTTTGCAAATGAAATTAAATATACAATATTTTGTATATTTTATTTGCTAAAATTAAGAATATCAAGAATGACAATAACCTAAACGGGACAGCCAGGCGCCCCTCCTACAAATGAGTATCAAATTATATAACTATATAATATAAGAAGATATTTTTATTATCAATATATTTTGATTAAGTAAGAGTCAATGGATCTATATTTTGGAGAGTTTTTACTATCCTAAAAGGGGGGAGGGTGTAATGACTGAGTTAGAATTCAAAGACTTGTGCAAATAAAGATAATATGAATATATAATATTATTAATATATATTTTTTTTCAGCATTTTAAAATTTCTTAAAACTACATGAAGTTGTCGCATTCAGAAGTTTCCATTATAATGGGTATCATCTTAGTCATTTATTTATTCTCATCTTAAATTTTCTGAAGGAAAACTTTATAGGTAAATTTAATTCCCCCTTACTCTTTCTCCTTCAATTTACCCTCATTTTTTTTCGTTGTTTTTAGGAACATATATATAGCATATACTTATATACTCTACTGTTCTCAACTAAGTATCACTTCAGTTGTTTTTTGAAAAGACAAAAAATCATAATAAAAGGATTTCTAACTGATGTATAAGATGTATATGAATTTATTTCATTTAATTCATTGAAGGATTTTCATTTCCTACTTAAATTAAAATATACTTGGTATATTCATGTACATATAAAGCTTTCGAAGAAAGGGTGGTTAGTGCTAAAATATTTTAAAAAATCACCTTTGCATTGAAAAGTGTAAACTTTCCAGTGCATGTATTTTTACAGACGTAAATTTGAAATATTACATCTGAGCGCTGTTTTCTTTTACTATGAAATTTCTTAATAATTTTTTTTATAAATGTTTGATTAAACAACGGTATTGTTTATAGTGAAATATCAAACGAAATACCAAAATATGGAGAAAACTTTTGGCACGTCACTGTACGTTGTTAATGTAAACAATGATGACGTCTATATTTAGAGTTAGCTATACAACGTCGGAACCGGGGGGGGGGGGGGGAGGGGGGGCTTAGCCCCCCCACTTTTTTTGCAAAGATAGACATAATATAGGCATTGAAAATTTGGGCTTACCTTTTTTCGTTGGTTTAGCCCCCCCCCCCCTTTCAATTAGCCACCCCACTTTCAATTTGCTTCCGACGCCTATGGCCTTAAAATCCACATAAGATGTCTTTATAAAAAATCATCAACCACAATAACATTTCAATTATACCCTTTTACAACTTACTTTCTAAGATTTAGACGTTATAATACATGTATTATGTATACATTGTACATGTAAGTATGTTTTGCTTGTTCCGGATTGTCGTTGCCTGGAATGAAAACGAAAGTAAAAAAGGTGGTCGCGACAACGAATTTTGAACAACTGAATTATTAAATTAATTCTTTATATCATTTAGATTCTCTACAAAGTAAGCATGCATCCTATTGTTATTCATTTTCTCAGAATATTAATAAAACACCCAGCTCATGTCAAGATCCGTAAAGCAGACGACTGTTAGCATCAGAATTTTACAAAATTCACTGTGGCCGCAGCCCACGACCAGAACAAAACCAGTATAAATCAACCCCTTTTATGTTAAAGTATTTCTGGTTAAAATATTTTTGTGGTCGATGCCTGCGGCCACATCGAATTTTCCCAAAAACCGAGTGAAAAGTGAAGATAATTACTTGTTTTCCGGATACGGCATAGGTTTGGATACTACATAACAGCACACGAAGCTTGGATCCGCCCAAATAATTACATATACGAAGACTTTGGTTCATAAACTTTATAAATATACATGGACAGCTGTGATACACAAACATAATTTTTCATGTATTTTGCAGGGCCTGTTGACATTAGCTAACGTACCTGGCTCTTTTTACCGACTCCGCATTTAAATATCAGACACAGTTTAAAGTCAGTTTAACTATAGAAACGTGGAGTTATTCAAGTTAAAAATCGTTGAAAATTTTAATTTGAACGTTTGTTTGTTTGTTTATTGTTTAACGTCCCTCTCGAGATTTTTCACTCATATGGAGACGCCACCACTTGCCGGTGGAGAGCTGCAAATTTTTCCTATACTGGGCACTTAAGGCCATTTAGCAGTGAGGGATCTTTTTCGTGCTGGCACTTACTGCGACACGGGACCTCGGTTTATACGGTCTCATCCGAAGGACCGGTCTCCACATCCCACAGTGGGATTCGAACCCGCGACGTAAGGATCAACTCCTTACTCCGCGACTCTAGAGCGAACGCTCTAACCACTGCGCCACGCGGGCGACTAATTTGAACGTAAATAACAAATATGTTCATCTATACACTCAATCTCGAATTTTTATTTTTTAGCTCAGATATGCCATTTATAGCTTTAACGCTTCCCAATCGCTTCAACATGTGAAAAAAAAATCGTCGGCTGGCGTGACGTAAAATTTTGCACATTTGTTTATTTCCTCTTGATAAGAATGACGAATTTTCATGAATTTATCTCTTTCCTTAATGGAATAAGAGCAAACGTCGAAATAATTTCCGAACAGCCCTCGTAGAGTTTGATTCAAATTTTCTGAATAATAACTGAGACACAGAAAATCAAAGGTTAAGGAAATATTGAAATGACGTAAAAAATGACGTTCCAAATGACGCTTATTTGTTCCTCAGAAACTTTTGTGATAGGTATCGGCATTCTCTATCCAGAGTTGTCGCTCCCGCTACTCTCCCACATAACCTCTGTCAACGCTTGTTATACAACATTCTTGAAAAAATTGTAAATGATCAAAAAATGTGTTATTAATCGATTTTAGTTATATTTCTCATCTGAAAACAGGATTTATTTTAATCCTTTACCCTTCTAGAGGATTTAAATTCAGTTTTTAATTTTTAGTCCGAAAAATAGTTCCCTTAAAAATTTAGAAATATATTGTTTTGAGGGATGATAGATTTAAAATAAATGATTAATTATCATCTTTATCGATAATTACAATAGTTGATTACTATTTTAATTTCAAATTTTCACCGTTTAAACTTGTACAAGGAGCGTTGACAGAGGTGTATGGAGCGTAGCGGAAGACAACTCTGGATAGAGAATGAGGTATCGGATTGAAAACCCGAGAATCTGGGTTAGCGCGAATGTTTTTCAGAGACAGGGTTTCTGGAGGGCCGCCGTAAGACCGGCATTGGGTCAAGCGCGAAGCCCTGTTTGGGGCTCAAGGGGTGAGGCCCCCGGAAGCTCCTGAATTTTAGTGATTTTAAAAGTTAAATTATACCTTATAATTAGCATTGAAAGGTGTAGTTACACCCTTCCTAAAAGCTCAAACATATTATCAATAATCAAATTATGCAAAAAATTTTATTAGACAATTTCTAGCCAAACTTTTTTGCTCGTCATTTAGCTGTGATTTGAGCCCATCCACTGATATTACTTGTATGTAAGTCACCCCCTGTCTTCTTTCATCATGCTACTCACACCCTCTTTCATCATATTGTCCCCTTTCATCTTGTGTCATGACACCTCTTGACTCAATCCATGTCTTCTCATTTGTAGCAGTCAACAGACTTTCAAATAATTTGAGGAAATATCGCCCTCTTCCCTCCCTCCCCCCCCCCCCCCCCCAAAAAAAAAAAAATCTCATGATTTTTGGGTCTGAATGATTTTCCTGCGCAAATGACTAAGAAAAAGAAAACAATGCTCACATAAATTATTTTCATTTTTTTTTAATTTCATAAAACTGCGAAACTTTCGTGTTGAAAAATATAATTAAAATCGTTTTAGTCGGACATTTTAATACTTACTTTCATCTTAATTATGATATCCTATAAATGTAAAAACATTCAAACTAAATTGTATTCTGATATAAATGTTTACAAATAGCTGCACAACACGATGAAAAAAATAATCAGCAGATCAAAGAGATACACATGCACTATGTGTGCCACTTTTGGACTTGTTTTTATGCCCCTGGATCAAAAGATCCCGGGGGTATATTGTTTTTGTCCTGTCTGTCTGTTTGTCTGTTTATCTGTTTGTCTGTTTGTCCGTTTGTCTGTTTGTCTGTTGTCAACTTTAACCTTGCCCATAACTTTTGATTGGTTGGAGCTATGACTTTCATATTTCACAAGTGTATTCCTTGTGACAAGACCTTTCTTTGGGTACCATCATATTTGACCTTTTGACCTTCACCTTGGAGTTTGACCCACTTTTGCAAAATTTCATGAGACTTTAACCTTGGCCATAACTTCTGAACAGTGGGTGCCTGGGGTTTCAAACTTCACATGTATATTCTTTATGACAAGGCCTTCCTTTGGATACCAACAACTTTGACCTTTTGACCTTGACCTTGGAGTTTGACCTACTTTTGAAAAACTTTAACCTTGGCCATAACTTTTGAACAGTTGGAGCTAAGGGTTTCAAACTTCACATGTGTATTCCTTGTGACAAGACTTTCCTCTGGATATCAACCACTTTGACCCTTTGACCTTGACCTAGGAGTTTGACCTACTTTTGAAAAACTTTAACCTTGGCCATAACTTTTGAATGGTTGGAGCTAGGGCTTTCATACTTCACATATTTAATCCTTGCGACAAGACCTTCCTTTGGATACCAACAACCACTTTGACCTTTTGACCTTGACCTAGGAGTTTGACCTACTTTTGAAAAACTTTAACCTTGGCCATAACTTTTGAATGGTTGATGCTAGGGCTTTCATACTTCACATATGTAATCCTTGTGACAAGACCTTCCTTTGGATACCAACCACTTTGACCCTTTGACCTTGACCTAGGAGTTTGACCTACTTTTGAAAAACTTTAACCTTGGCCATAACTTTTGAATGGTTGGTGCTAGGGCTTTCATACTTCACATATGTAATCCTTGTGACAAGATCTTCCTTTGGATACCAACCACTTTGACCTTGACCTTGACGTTTGACTTTTATTTAAAAAACTTTAACCTTCGCCATAACTTTTGAACAGTTGTATCTAGGTCATTCAAATTTCACAGGTGTATTCCTCGAGACAAGACCTTTCTTTGGGTATCAACATTTTTTATCTTTTGGCCTGGATTTTGACTTGCATTTGAAGAAACTTTAACCTTCGCCATAAGCTGCCATACGGGTTCATCAGTGTTTCACAAACACATCTTGTTTTAAAACGGCTTATCTCAGAGTATTTTATACAAAACATTCTTGAAACACTTCCCTGCTGATGTTGTCACTTTATTTCCTCTCAAAAATTGCCTTTAATTCTTGCCAATGCATGATCCCATTTTCACGTGTAAAGAAAATTAATCTTCTTCACTTTCCAAGGTTAAAAGTCTGATACAAGTAAATCAACATGTTAATTCTGCTCATATCAATATAAAAAGAGATAAGCTACTGATGGGATGCAATTGGTACCCATGACACATAAAAAGATAATACCAATAATCAACTTATTATCTATAAATACAGCAAATAGTCCGGAAAACTGACAGAATGACGGAAATGGGTTACACAAATTCGTCGTGAGGGTATAAAAAGTAACCATAGTTACTTTAAAGATTACTTTAAAATGTGTGCCCTGCATCCAAGTATTCTTTAGAAAAAGAAATATATATATATATATATATATATATATATATATATATATATATATATATATATATATATATAGACCTGTGTCCACCTCCTCATATGTATACTCTAACAAAATACGCTTGTATTAACTTAAAAGTAATTGGCAAGAACCACTAAATAGGCCTATTTGATAATTATCCAGCCCTACATTATCTCATTCTGACAAAATATCAGATATACTTAAGGTCTTTTCATCAAATAAGCTAGACACTCACAATGTCAGCGATGTATGTGTACCATTTCGTGATCCTTCTACTCTCTATTGTTGTATGTGGTCAAAACACAACCAACGCCTCGGATCAGAAGACCATGTCCGACCTTCAGAATAGAATGGCCTTGCTAGAAAAAGCCGTAGGAAAATTCCTTACAGGGAAAGATGATGTTAATTTTACAAATATCAGTGGTTTAAAGATTCGAGGTGGAGGTAATTTGATTGATTTTATATATTTGGCTTTACTTTCAATAATAATTTATTGTAAGATTTATTTTTCGCTTCATTTTTCCTAATCTATGTCTATATTCATGGCCGTAGGAACCGGGGGGGGGGGGGGCACGGGGGGGCGTGCCCCCCCCCCCCCAATATTTTTGCCGATATATAGATTGCTATAGTAAATATAGATACTATATGCTTGTGCCCCCTCAATAAAAACGTCTGATGACCTCTTTTTTTTTTCTTGTTTGCTTGTCAGGAAAATTTTGTAGTGCCCCCTCAACTGTCAACTGATGTATGGCTGTGCCCCCCCCCCCCTCCCCAACTGAAATTGCTTCCGACGAGCCTGATATTTTTTAATGGTTAATTTAAAACTACTATATAATTCAATAACTTAAGGGCCTTACTGAAAATTGAACATAATGTTTGCATTAAATCATTTCAATATATGCAGTTTCTTCAATAAAGTCCAGACCGTCATAGCTACATTCTTCTTAAATTGAAAACACTCATTAAACATTTTCGAAAGTGGGGGGGGGGGGGGCAGGCAGAGAAAAAAATTTCAACTTACCTGAAAGAAACTTGACAAGCAAAAAAAAAAAAAAAAAAAAAAAAAAATTAAAAAAAAAAAAAAAGGAAAATTAAAAATTGTCCGAACTCGAAAATCCTATTTCGTGTGTTTGTGTGTGTGTGCGGGGGGGGGGGGGGTTTCCAACTTCTTTCAGCACTAAATTTTATTCATACACTACCACAAAACCCTTATCTGACTATTCTACAACAAAAAGTGGGGGTGGCGCTCAACCAGCCTTTTAATTAACATTTCAAATAGTAAAAAGAGTCTTTGGAAAAAAGTGGGGGGGGGGGGCTGCCTGGCCCCCCTTGTTGCTACGTGCCTGTTAAAATAGCAATGTGGGGAAAGAGCATTTTTTAAATTTGAATTGAATTGCAATATGTCACATCAATTTAATGATCAATGAATAAATAATTCTGTGATAATGGCGCTAATTTTATGTGAGAAATGTTTATCGAGTTATGCCAAAATTAACCACATATACATGTAGTGATATACATGTTTGCAGTAAAATTCTTTTCAGGATTTGGTATCCCTGGTTTTAACACAACACTGGTTGCTTTCAGTGCATTGTACGGTTCTGACATGGCGGGAATAAGCACTGGATACATTTTGAAGTTTTCTTCTGTCATCACTAATTTAGGAAACTACTACAATCCGACAGACGGAATCTTTGTCGCACCTGTTCACGGTCTCTATATGTTTCAGTGGACCATGATCTGTTATACAAGCGGCAGTAATAGCTGTGGCACTTCGCTGAGGGTTAATAATGCTGGGAAGGGTTACCTATATTCCGGAGAAAATGGGAATGGTTATCATCACACAGGATCTAAAACAGTGATTGTGGAGGTGCAAGCGGGGAATCATGTCTGGGTACAAACCGAGAATTGGTCCAATATATTCATTCAGGCACAGTCTTCGTTCACTGGTTGTCTCCTGTCAATACTCTAGAAGCAATGAATATGTTTATGTTGTACATATTTATATATTAATCGAAAAGATAAATGTAGATAATTTGGAGATATACACGGTAACATTTAGAATCTAATGAATTCTTTAACTGAACACGAAAATGAAATCTTTAAAATGCAAATACAATCACAGAATAATATTTTTTTCCATTTCGTCTGTACAGAATATTATTTAATTTAGATTATATGGATCTTCAGATTTGTTATGAAGAAATAAAGCTTTTCAGTAACACCTGTTTTTCCTCTTATTATTCATTGCTTAAAATTTCTGCCACATGATGACTTAATTGATCGTAGAGTGTATTTAATACACACACACACACACACACACACACACACCCTCTCTCTCTCTCTCACACACACACAAATAGTTGAGTTATATCAAGTGTATCTCCCAGATACATTTACAGAAAAAAATATTCCCTTCGTTTGAATATTTGGTATTGGAAGACAATAAAGTGCTCATATCAAAACAACCTTTTTATGCTATTAGAAGTACATGTACTTGCAACTTACATCAAACAGTCCATTAGCTTTATTTTACATCTTGGTGCAAAGGTCACTGTTAACTTTATTAAAATAAATCTTTTTTGTTTTTCAGGTATATCATTTTTGCATTAAAAAATCTCTGATGTTTGGAGTAGGATAAAAATGTAGGGAAAGATCTATTCACATTTTCTGACTATAAAAAGCTATAAAAATAGCATTTACTCGAATGACAGTCTAAAAAACTATAAGAAAAAAAAAGAAACCTTACTATTGTCACGTATGCTCTTTATGTGTATTATGAGTGTATAATGAGTATCTAGGTCAATGATAAACTTTTTTGCCAATTACCAGCATGCTGATTACTACAGATGTACATGAAATATATGGAAATAACGAACAGTATTCAAGCTCAAAAGTCCATAAAACAATACAAATCAGAAGCAGAGCAAACTCGGACCTCTAAAACATCAGAGGTGAGATCAGGTGCCATGGAGGAGTGAGCATCCCCTGCCGACCGGTCACACCCGCCTTGTGCTCCTTGTCATGATCGGGAAATAACAGAAAAATCCGTCGACAATTCAGTGTGTACATAATGGCTTTACAATTAGTATGAAAAACGTCAGTCAGCATTTGACTTAATGATAGGTTATATTTGCTGACAAGGTCATTGAATCAACCATAGAACTTACGAAATGATGACTTTAAACGAGACTGCTGATACTCTTGTTTCATCAGCTTGTTTGTCAATAACCTACCTAGTTTTAGAAATTGAGCATGTTCTTGCGTATCGAATCAACTGAGAGATATAAACCCCGTATGCAGTTGATGAAGGTATATTGCTGCATAAGAAAGGGAAGTTGATGAATTAAAAGTTAAAGTCATCACGTTTAAAATAAAGCTGTGTTGTGAGATTACCATTGACGTCTTTTTCAGGTAAAATATCCAAATATGAAACAGATGTGTCAGATTCTGTGCTATCTTTTATCTCAAGCTCACCGGGATATATCATATCAACATAAGAATGGAAATAACCATTGTTAATTGATCATACGTCGTCGATATATCTAAATGTCGAGTTGAAGGCCAAAGCAAGTGTTTTCTTCTTTTCACGTATAAGATTTTGGACAAATTCTCCCTCATATGAATACAAAAAAGGTCTGCTAATAACGGGGCGCAATTAGTAACCATGGAAATTCCAATAGATTGTTGGAAGACCTGGTCTCCAAAAACCACATAGATATTGTCAATCAGAAACTCGAGCATCTTTTTAATGTCAACTTCAGAGTACTTGTGTGTACAATCAGAATGTTTTTTAACAAAATAATTTTGCAAATGTCCAATGACAAGGTAAGTAAATTTACGAGTTCCATTTTTATTGAAAAAACAGCTGTCAATGATATCAAATAGCCTGGACTTCAATTTATTGTGGGGAATGGTTGTGTATAAAGTTGAAAAGTCGTAAGTTTCTAAGCTGTTGATTTTGGTAAAATCTTGTGATTTCAAATTTTCCAAAAGTTCCTTGGAATTTTTAAGTATCCACATCTGATTAACACTACTTCTCGAATAGATTGTTGCACAGTACTCTTGAAGTTTCTCCTTCACTACTGTTAATATCTTAGTGAGGAGTAAAGAAAGAGGCTTGGTTGAACATTAACTGGAACCCGCTATGTATCTTTGTTTGTAAGGATTTTTATGAAGTTTCGGAATCCAATATAGATATGGTAATTCAAATTTATTTTGATTGTTTGGAATATTAAAAATATTCAAAACTGACATATGATTTTGAAGAATTTCTTCCTTGGAAAGGGAACTATGAGTATAAGTTAGATTACCACTTGTAGAATTAAATCCAAGTTCCTCTAAAATACATTTAATATAATGAGCTTTACAAACAAAGACAATACAGAAGGATAGATGGTTCTCATATTGCCCCTCAATCTTTTAATGCGCGATTTTAACATACATCTGATACATTTAATCCATTCTGACAAAGTGTCAAGGTCTTCTTTTTCATGTCTGGCCCATCGCCTGGCGTAATCCTCTACAGAATCCATAATATTTATGAAATTCCGACGCCAGTTGAAGGATCGGGGTTCCCTATATTTAGGACCTTTTAAAATTAATGATCTAAGGTCCTCATTATTAACTATATTTACGTCACCAGTAATAATGTGCCCAGCAGGACTATAGTTATAGGGTGAAGAAGAACATGCTTTTTTAATTGCTTTTCACCAAATGAATTCAATAGATTCTCAGTATTTAATATAGCCCCATCTTAGCATCAGAACGATCCTGGACGAATGAATTTCAGGTCATCTTGTTCATCATAACTGCACTTAGTTTGTCTTCTTAACATACAAGGAGAGACTTGTGATTTGGTCACTTCGTGACCTCAGACCCCCCCCCCCCCCCAATAATTAAGTTATACAGAAATGAAAAAAAATTGTTCTTTGATAAGTTTACATTTATTTACGACAAAATATTTGCAAAATTAAAAACATGTATTACATACTTAAAACTAAATTGTATAGACATCTAGAACAAACAATTGATCTCTTATGGGACTGTTATTTGTTTGGTTCATGTACGTTATCAATGTTCTGAATATTTAACTAGAAAGAGGGGGAGGGGATATTTATTCTGCTCATATGCTTACTCATAGCATTGACATAAGAAATCCTGAAAAAGAAGACCAGGTATGAATACGGACGTTGGACCAAGTATTGGTCTCAATCCACACATGATCTCCTGCTTGAACCTCGACAATAACCGAGTTTGAACCGGTATGATAATAACTACCAGCATCCTCCCCTGAGTATATTTGACCTTTTCCAGAACCATTGATCATTAGAGACGTGCCACAGTAATTACTACCAGTAGTAAAACAATTCATTGTCCAGTGAAACATGTACAATCCATGAACAGGTGCGATGAAAATTCCGTCCGTCGGATTGTAGTGGTTTCCCAGGTTAGTGATGACATGAGAGAACTTCAGTGTGAAACCAACACTTATTCCAGATGTACTTCCGGATCGTGCACTGAAGGCTACAAGCGTGGCGTTGAATGAAGGAATGCCTGAAAGGAAAAGAAACACACACAAAAAATTATGAATTCGATTCTATTAATCTAAATAATTTCATTTTCATTATTTGCACAAATTACTCGTTTGGAAACAAAGAGAGTCAAAGGAAACAAAAGAGAAAAAAGTATAACAGCATATTTACAACCTCATTCATGACTTACCCTGGTGATAAATCTTTAATTTGCATGGTCTTTCCCAGTCAGAATTCTCCCAACAGCTCTTTCCAGCATGTTAACCCTATTCTGAAGGTCGGAAATATTGTTTGAATCCGAATTGTTCGTAGTCTTTTGACTGTTCACAAAACTTACGTACAGAAATATAATTCCAATTTGTTGTATGTACGTATACATGGCAGATGCTTTAAGAACTCTAGAAAAGAAATTTGTTTACCAATTTATACTTTTTCTACTTGTTGTGATTTGGCGAAGTGGGCTGTCAAAATCACATCCGAGAATATAATTGGTTGGTATCTGTGAAGAGTGTTGCTTTATCTACATTACCGGATTTGTTACTGTTATCTTTTTAACCCATGTTCTTTTTATAAGCTTTTTACAACTACATGTATTTTTTTATTTGTTAAAAAAGCAAACTAAATATAATGCAGGGCATATTTCTAGAGCTTGATATCAAAATCTGTCAAGGAAATACAAATACGTCTCTAATAATTCCAGTCATGTATAGTTTTACATTGCTTAATATTGATTTTCAAGCAATACAATGAAGTAAGCGAATTCTCAATGTAAGAATATCATAAATACTCGATTCAGAGACCCAGCAGTTAAAGTGACCCCTGCTATTTGACAGGGAAGCAAAGAATATGACGAGTATGTTTTGATAAGACAATGTCACAATCCAAATTTGTTCAAATATCGGTCTTTAGAGAATAACTGAATTTTTATTCGATGTTAATTATGAAATTAAAAGAGAACTATTTAATCAAGGTGTTTTATAATTAATTACTCACTACTTCATCTTTTTTAACATAAACATAAAATTGCCTCGTTTTTCATCAGTAACTGTGCAAAAAGTAATTGATATATATTTCTTTTCAGTGCAAGCATTGTATCAACAGCGCATGATACAAAGCCGCTTAATGATAGAAATATCATTAAGCATTGCAAATGCAACGTTCAGTGCATTTAATGTAAGACATAATTTGACATTGCCCAGCTTATTTCTTAGAAAAATATAAAGTATGTGATTTGACTTTCATAAACATCAAGCAAGTTTACAGCATAGTAAGCATATGCGTATTAATATTTTCATGTTCTTGTCAAAATTTGATGGAAAACTTAATTTTCCTGACCGGATATTCGAACTATTGGATTTTAACTGTATGTTGAAATTTTCCTTATTATTTTTCTATCTTAACTTGCGTTTTTTATTATGCCCCCGTATCGAAGATTCGGGGGTATATAGTTTTTGCCCTGTCCGTCCGTCTGTCTGTCTGTCTGTTTGTCCGCAAAAACTCTAACCTTGCCCATAACATTTGATTGTTTGGAACTATGACTTTCATATTTCACATGTGTATTCCTTGTGACAAGACCTTTCTTTGGGTACCATCATATTTGACCTTTTGACCTTGGAGTTTGGCTCACTTTGACTTTAACCTTGGCCATAACTTTTGAACAGTTGGTGCTTG